CCTTCTCCTGGATCCACCCCCAAAGTCTCTAGGTATTTTCCAACCCAGACCTGGCAACCCTAATCCTGTAGTTGCAGCTATCAGATCCTTCCGTGTGCTGCCTACAAAGCAAGACTGAAGGATGATCTGAAGCAGGATAGGTCAGGTCAGCTCACCCCACCCCACCCCACTTCAGAGGATACTACATGGAGTCCATATTGAGTTGCCAACTCCAGGGTGGGAATTTTCTGGAGATTTGTGGGGTGGAGCCTAGGGAAGGTGAGGTTTGGTAAAGGGAGGACCCTAAACTGGATATAATGCCATAGACTCCACTTTACAAAGCTGCCATTGTCTCCAGAGGAACTGATCTCTGTAGTGTGAAGATCAGTCGTACTTCTGGGAGATCTCCAGGCCCTACCTGGAGTCTAGTCACTCAGTGTTCAAGGTGGGATGCCCTTCTTACAAAATAGTTTGCAGATGGACTTCCAGGTTTAGAATCCTGAATTAGATTGAAAGTTTGGAACAGTTTAATTTGAAGAAGAGTCTGCAAGGCAATTTAGTAGGCATATGCATCTGGATATTGCCAACCTAATAAAATGCCCAATATTTTTGATATCAGAGCAGGTTGGCAATATCTGATACCCCTGCTTGTTGTCTGCCTGACATGATTCCCAAATCAGATATCATCACTCTCAATAATATCAGAATCAGGAGCAGCCAGTGAGGAGGCCGACACACTGCCCACCAGATGGGAGCCCTTTTTCTCTTTCCTCTTTCAGTTCTTCACAAGAGAGTCAAGAAGGACATGACTACTTGCAATAAAATATTCCCAGTTTTCTGACATGGAATTTAAACCATCTTTTTCACATGCACACATTTTGTTTGGTTATCAGAAGACTAGACAGGCGTATGTCTACAATATTCTGGTAGTGGAAATGGTAAAAGCATTTTCCATTGGGGAATTGGAACGATCTTCCTTGGACCCTCCTTTAAGCCTCAGTTTATCACTTCTGCTATGAAACATTTATAGTAAGCCACAGAATGAGATCATTTGGGGCTTTAGTGTATGGCATCAAAATATACTGATAATAGCAAGCTCCCAGATGTGGCTGTCTCTGCTCTGAATCAGTGCATGGATGTGATGGTCAAATGAGAGTAATTAAGGCCTGTTATGCTTGGGTGTCTTCCTTTGCTTTCACTGTACATGTTTGTTGGGTTTTCTTTGTTGTTCTGCATTGATTTTCCTCCCTTCAGTGCTTAGTTTGTTTTCTGGTTGCTGTTTTCCCAGGTTTTCTGAGAGTGCTTTTGTGCTGATTTTTTCCTTGTTTCTCTTCCAAGCTGAATACAAAAGCATACAGATTCCCTCAGATTTCCCCCCACCCTTGAAGGTCACTCCCTTGCCCACATAGAGGTCCTTCCATCCACTCTGCACCTCCGGCCATCCTCCCCCCTTCATCAGTGTACTAGCTCCATTCCCCCCATTTTAAATTTTTTTTAAACGGCATGTAGCAATATTAGACTATTGCTAGTCTCGGATGGCTGAATAAAATATTAAAATGACTGGGGGGGGAGTTTAAAAGGCGCTGTGTGAGGTTTAGTTCCCAGCTGGTATTGACTTGAAAGGGGGATTGGAGAGGAGGAAAATGGCAGCATCCTTAGTGCAAAAAAAAGAAAAGAAAAAGGATTTCAGTACTGCATGCAAACAAAATGAAGGGGAGTGGGATCGTCAGCATGGAATGAAATTGAAATGAGATGTAAAGAGAGGGAGACACAGGATGAGAAGCCTAAAGCTTCAAAAACATTTTCCCTTTAATGATTTAGCAAACAATTTGGGGGGTGGGCATTTTGGCAGTCTCTGGAAACCTAACGTTAAAATGTCAGCTGAGCCACATGGACCTTCTGCCAAACTTAAGAATCGCTTGGGATCAATTCTTTTTGCAGGACAGAGTGCAATCTGCACAGGACAGGCTCTAAAAAACTGCCAAGATCACAACCAGTGCGCAGGATCAAATTAGAGAATCACAAAGAGAAAACCATGCAAATTTGCAAGGAAGGGCAGGAAATTAGCATTACTATGCAGCAGCACTAGGGCACTGATGAAAATACCCCCCATTTTTTTTTAATTCAGTGGAACAAGACTAACTAAAAAAGCTCTCCAGAGCTTCTGCCAGAGGACTCCTCCCCCGTATAAACTGTAGCCCTGTGCAAAGCGTGGTGGAGTTGCAGCCGACTTTGCACAGGCGCACACACACATACATTGCCAGCTATCACAGCTTGTAATGCCAATGTCAGTGGGTTCTACTGTGACATTCTGTACACTCAACGTGTTTCCCCATATTATGTGTGACTCTTACCCATTTTTCACAGTGGCTGATAACAAAGTAGAGAATTCCCTAGTGCTCAGCAATATGGGGGCTTCCCAGCTACTTGTCAGTTTCAGAAAAGGTTTAGTCAGTTTCAACAGTGGGTTTTTCCCCTTTGCCTGAGTTCTTTTCTGTTCCCTTTCATTCAGTGAACTAACGCTAAAATGCATGCACAAAACCTGAACCATAAAGATTTAAATGGAAGGCGTTTGCTGGACACTATCACACAGCTGCAATACAGCAATAGCATTTTTTTTAAAAAAAACCTTTGGATGCCACCCCCCACGTCACAAGTGATGTTCCACCTCAATTTAGAAAAATGTGTTTTAATTTTTTTTTTAGCTGCAGAATAAATATACCTGAGGAAAATGAGTGGTGTATAAGGCGGGCACAGAATCCAAAGTCAACATTAAAGGCTTACTGCTCTGAAAATCTGCAGTAAGATGTGCGTGCGTAATGGGCCCATAACAGAACTGAAACAAAGCAGAGGTGATGCTGATGATGAAGGCTTGATGTCATTGAAGGGACTGACCTGCCTGTCTTGCATAGGGTCCAGTTGACATTGACCAGGTAAAGTCTGGCGGTGCTTGTCATCTCAACCTACCTATTAAAAAAGCAGGCACTGTTGCTACAAATGCCTTCTTCCATTTATGTCCAATTCATAAATTTATTTATTTATTAATTTATACCCCACTTTTCTTCCTAATCATGATCCAAAGCAGCTTATGTCATTCTCTCATCTCTCCTCCTCTGTCTTATCCGCAAAACAACCACCTTGTAAGATAGATTTGCCTGAGAGACTGCACCAAGGTCACCTGTGGATCTTCCATAGCATAACTGGGATCTGAATCTGGTTGCTCCAGGTTCTAGTCTAGCACGCTAATTGCTATGCCCATTTAGCCGTGCTGATCTATGCTTATGTAACTTCCAGACAGGATTCCTGCAAGGTGTTCTGTGATGGGACTGAACTTTAAGGTATCTGGGAAGTTTTGGTCAATACAAACTTCAGCCTTTTGGTTTGGGTTGGACAGCGAATATATGTTGAGCCAACTGTAAAGTGACTTTTCTGGCTTCCAAGTTTGCTTCTGGGCTCTGTTTAAACTGGTCTTCCACACCTATAAAGCCTTTCTTGAACTGAGATCCATGTACCTGAAGGATGTACTATCCTATATAAGTCCACACTGAAACAGAGATCTGCTCAACAGGACATCTGGCTGTGTCCTCTGCTTGCCAAGGGTAGAAATCCATAGCAAGGGAACATGCTTTCTTGCTCTATATGGAATTGGGTATCAGAGGATGTTGGGACAGCACTTTTGTTACTGGCATTCTACAAGGACTGTGGAACTGTTGTTATCAGAGGGCTCCGTCAAATATGTTTGTTTGTATTGATTACTGTTTTGTATTGGTTACATGGGCTTTTTACAATTAGAATACTTGTAGTTCGGTGTCTTCACCTTCCACTGTAAGCTGCTTTGAAATTCAGATAAGGTACAATATACATGATTTTTATTTCTCTTGGATGCCTAGAAATCTTAGCCAGATTTCAAAATAAAGTGCAATCTCCAAATAATTTGTATACCTATCTAATTCAGGGGCAGCTAAATTAATGTTCTTTATTTCTACTGCTAAGATGATCAGAGGAACTAATTAATCAAGACAACAGTGGCCACAACCCAGATCTCACATGGGACTCTGAAGTGTTTGACTGATGGAAGTCCCCTTTTTATAAATGGATGAGCCTGCGTTGCATACTTACACACATTTTCTTGCATAGGAAGGGTGGGCTCATCTGCTAAAATTACTGGGGAAACTTTTGCAGATGGAGAAATCTTTTGCATGTGTCTGAGCTCCCCACCTCTAAGTAACCTCTAGATCACAATCATTGTTTGTGTAGCATTTTAATCTAGAATTAAAATAGATTAGAAGGTTGCTTTCACACACATGGCATAATGCACTTTCAACACACTTTTTCAGTGCTTTTCAAGTACATTGAAGGTGCATTATTGAACATATGTAAAAGTAACCAAAGTCTTGTCTTTGTATCCAGTATAATCTGTAATTTTGTGCAATAAGAGTAGAAATAAACAATTACAGTCAAAGTCAAAAAAAGTTGACAATGTATTTATTTGGGGGAAAGGGAGATCATTATGAAGAAATATTTTACAAGGACAAGAAGTATTAGAGAGATTACTTCTGCCATCTCCTGGACAACTAACTTCTCAGCTGTATTTTTTTTTTTAAACTTGGCAGCCACAGAGCATTTTTTAGTTTAATAACAAATTCTATGCTGTGGCATCACAAAAAAAGGAGACTTGTTAATTTTCAGACTAATATATTCATGATGGCACAAGCTCTCCTGGATGGCCCACTTGATCAGATCCATGAATATCTATGTTGGCAGATTTATGGGAAACATACAAGCAGAGAGAAAACCAATTGTACCCACAAAGGCCATGAAATGCAAGAGGTATGAGTTCACATTTCTATATAAAACTCAAATGTATATAAGATAAACACAGTGGCTGGCCGAGTTCAGACTGGCAGTTTGAAGCGGGAGGGAGTTGTGGCAAAAAAGAGTCGGAGCAAACTGCTCCAGGTTTTCCCGTTCACACTGCAGCGACTGATGCGGGATCATACTGGGAGAAGGCGCAAGGGAGTGTTCACACTGTTGACCCGGAGGCACAGCTGTAAGTACGGGATGTTGATTTTAAAACTGATTTTAAATCCAGCTAATTTACCGAATTCCTGAATTTCCTGTGGAAAGTTTCTGAAATGTGCCTATATCGGGACAAACTACCAGTCTGAACTCGGCCGCTGTTTATCAAAGCAATAGTTGCTGATGACATAGACTCCCTAGGTTTGTTGATCTAACCCATTATAGGCTAGCAAAACTAATAGAATCAAATTTCCTAATAAATTCTACAATTTCTGTCTAGTATCCAGCATTCATTTAGTCCATTAAGCAAGCATGGGTATTTGAACAGAAGAAACCAAAATTCCAGCACATATGATTCAGTAGGAAAGCTGTGTAGAACGATCTTCAGCTATTGCCACTCCAATCTTATTCAAGTTCTTAAAATGTCAAGACAGTGCGGATGCTGAAACAAAATGACAGACACATGAATTTGGCAAGCCACATTCCAAGAGAACTGCTAGCATTTCACTATGCCCCATGCTTATTCAATTTGTTCTTGCACAGGCAGAATCTGCATTTGTCTTTCCCACCGGTGTCCCAGCCTTCTGACTCCGTCTTCAAAAAATCTGTCTACATTTGTTTTCACACCTCAACAGTGCTAGCATACTTTTGCACGTCCACATATGTTTACTGCCCTTTCGTGGCGGCTCCACTGTCATTGCGCCTCCCCGCTGCTTTAAAAGAATCTTCTCCAAACAACATTCAAGCAAGCATAGAGAAAGACGGCGTCACAGCGGGACAAAAATAATTTTAAAATGCAAATGCAGATTCGGCCACAGTGGAGACAGGGGGGAGTGTCCATTTATACTATGGTCGATACTGCTCCTGATCATATGATGGTGGTCCCCATTGTGACTTCTATGGGGGAACAATCTGTGCAAATTAGCAGCACCTGGTGGTAACCATACAAACTGTGCCACGCAGGAAACTGAGAATTATTTACAAGGATAGCTAGCAAAAGAAAAATGAATATTACCTCTTTCCAGTTCGGAGCAATTCAAATCCGTCATTGATTTTCTCGAAAGGTAAAGTGTGAGTAATTAAGGGATCCAGAACAAACTTCTTCCCCATGTAATCAGAAACCAGTTTAGGGACAGAGTTCTTGCTCTTCCAGCCTGAAAACCAGTGAAGGAGGAGAAGTCACTCAGAATATATTATTGAAATAAGGACAAGAACAATATGTTATTGAGGAGTTGGATATTCCCGAAGATCTAAATTAGACATAAAGGAACAATGCTGTTTTGCCCGTTATTGGCTTTCCCATCTCAGTTTTAGAGATTTCTGTGATTCAAAGATGTTCATACAACTGGGGAAGGCCAGGGTGAGTCCACACAGTTACCTGTTCCCAGGAACAGTCAGTACAACTCACATATTATCAGGGCTCAAGTTTCCAAGAGTGTGGTTTTTACATTCAGAGATAGGGTTGCCAACTTTGGGGCTGGAAATTCCTGAATATGAGGTAAGAGCTTGGGGAGGGTGAGGTTTGGGGGAGGGAAGGAGCACAGCAGAGATGTGATAGAATCCACCTACCAAAGCTGCCATTTCCTCCAGGGGAGCTGACCTCTGTAGTCTGGAGACCAGTTGTAATTCTGGGAATTCTCCAGCCTCCACCTGGAAGTTGGCAACTCTATCCCTACAAATATGTACACTCTCTCTTCTTTCCCCTCTTCACCTCTTAGAAGTGAATTCCTCCCATCTTTTATGTGGGTTTCTTTTCACAGTTTACCACTACACCTGTACCTGTGGGGATCACATTTAATGCTAATTATGATTCCCATCTTAACCAGAACTTGATGCCAGAGTTTGGTATTGGTTTGCACACCATGAAAGCAACAGAACTTGATTAGCATTTACATGGTCAGCACCAGTGCAGATGTAACAACAAACCATTCATGATTCAGGGAAGGCAGGCAGAATTTGCAGCGGAGAGTGGAGGGGAAGAAGAAGGTTTTATGAATTCCCAAAGCTGATTTTCTATTTGCAGATCTGATTTTCAGGGATATAGTATTATATCTACAGTGGATTTACATAATTAGTTTGCTTCTTATAACACAGGACATAATTTACACCTGAGTTTTGCAGGCATAGCCCAGATATAGGAATATCTGAGCGATGCCTGCAGAACTGAGGTGTAAATTGTGTCCTGTGATATGCACAGATATGCACACCTACTACCTCGCTGCATATCACACCTAATCCAATCACACCTTCTATTGCCATTTGCCTGCTAATGTCATTTGGAGGAGGAGGAGGAGGGAGGGAGGAGGAGATTGGATTTATACCCCACCCTTCCCTACCCAAAGGTGTCTCAGAGTGGCTTACAAACTCCTTTCCCTTCCCCTCCCCACAACAGACACCCTGTGAGGTAGGTGGGGCTGAGAGAGCTCTGACAGAAACTGCTCTTTTTTCAAGAACAGCTCTTATCAGAGCTACGGCTTGCCCAAGGTCATCCAGCCAGGTGCAAGTGGAGGAGTGGGGAATCACACACGGTTCTCCCAGATTAGAGTCTGCGCACTTAACCACTACACCAAACTGGCACTACACCAATTTGGCATCTGAAATCACTCCACGTTCCAATATAGAGGACAGATGGAGTCCCATTCTAGCTGTACCTGAAGAAGTGAGTAGTGACTCACAAAAGCTCATACCCTACCACAAATTTTGTTAGTCTTTAAGGTGCTGCTGGACTCTTACTCTTTTCTACTGGAGTTCAGCTGTAATTCCAGGGGATCCCCAGGTTTCACGGGAGGCTGGCATCCCTAAAAATTAAGTACTTTTGAAACTGCATGAGTAATAACGCTACCACAGGATGCTCTAATGATCATTAGTTTAGCTGGTTTTGCAAGAACAGGTCAATCAATGATTATTAGCTATGATGATTTACATGAAACTTCCACGTTCAGAGGCAGTGTCCTTAGAATACCAGCACTAGAGGGCAGTAATGGGGAGGCATGAATATGCTAGTATCTGGCCTCATTACTAGGCCTTCCAGGAGCATCTAGATATCCACAATAAGAAACCTAATGTTAAATTAGATGCACAACTGATCTGATCCAGTATGGCCACTCTTTTTTTTTTTTTTAAATCATGCTCAGTATCACTCCTTTTCAAGACATACAAATACTAGAAATACTCTGAATATTGCATTGCATGCAATGAGTTACGGTGGGTTTTTTTTGCCAAGCTCATGACTGTACCTCCAAACACAGATCCTTTCCAGGTACGGCCAGTGAAAAGAAGCATTGGGTTAAAGCTGATCTCAGATGCTGAAGGAGGCACCCCCACAATTACACTGATTCCATAATTTTCATGGCAGGAAGCCAAGGCAGCCGTCTGAGATAAGACATGGACATACTCTTGATTAAATCACAATATTTAAACACAACATTTGAATAAGTTCCCAAAGCAATTTGCTAACTGACCCTGGACAAAAACTAACATGACTAAACTCTAAACATTCCTACTGCATTTCATCTTCTGCTGTCTTCCTAATACATCCTTCCTAATTGGACTTTGTAGGCCTTATTAGGCAAATGGATGGTAACATAATTCTTGTCAGTGACTTGTGGATGCTCTTAAAGCATATTATCAAGTACCAAATCTGGTTAATACATGGTAATAATTGAATGGTAGAGAGGAAGCTGCTCCTAATGAAAGTAACTTCAGATCACAACGTTCATCATCTCATTCTCTACCAAAAAGGACTATCCATATCTAATACATATCAGTTCTTGAAGTCACCTACCATGGTATCTGTGCGTCCAACCACTTCAAATGAATAGTCTACACCTTGGCCACCAGTCAAATCAAACAGTACTTCACTGATGGGTTTCTTATAATCCAGTGGGTTGACACACTCAGTGGCTCCCACCTCCAGAGCTTTAGGAAATTTACTTTTATTGATATCGACCCCAATGATTCGGGAAGCTCCTGCAGCCTTGCATCCCATGACAGCTGAGAGACCGACTCCTCCCAAGCCAAAGACAGCACAGGTAGAACCACGTTCCACCTAGAAAACCATAAGATCAATTTGTGAAAAATGGTTCAGTGTTCCCAGTGTGGTTTTAAAAGGTACTTTTCAACAAGTGTGGGAGGAAATGCCAGAACACAAAGGAGAAGCCATGTTGGATCAGGCCAGTGGCCCATCCACTAAAACACTCTGTGTCACTTAGTGCCCAAAACCCAGGTGCCATCAGCGGGGCCAGAACTCCAGAAGCCCTCCCACTGTTGCCCCCCAAGCACCAAGAATACAGAGCATCATTATCCTTCCTAGACATAGTGTTCCATCTATATCTTGTGCTAATAACCATCAATGGACCTCTGCTCCATACATTTATACAATCCTCTCTTGAAGCTGCCTATGCTTGTAGCCACCACTAAATACATGAGAGTTCCGCTGAAAATATCTTCCTCCTGATTACTGTTTTCATTGTAATGGCTACTGGAACTTAAAAACCTTACTGAACAGAGATGCTGTATTTCTCAAGGAGCTGAAGATATTTCTCATTATTTTGTTAGATGTCCAATTTATGAATATGTTTGTGTAGACTTATTCCAGGAATTATTGGTTTGAACTCACAAATGGCCAATAGGCATTAAATGTATTAATACCTTGAACACCAAACATTTTTCTAATTATACTTAAGAACACAAGAGATGCCAATGGTGGATCAGGCCAAAGGCTCATCCAGTCCAACACTCTGTGTCACACAGTGGCCAGAAATACCAGTGCCATCAGGAGGTCCACCAGTGGGGCCAGGACATTAGAAGCCCTCCCACTGTTGACCCCCCCCCCCAGCACCAGGAAGACAGAGCATCACTTGCCCCAGAGCCCCTATCTATACCTTGTGGCTAATAGCCACTGATGGACCTCTGCTCCATATGCTTATCTAATTCCCTTTTGAAGCCGTCCATGCTTGTAGCCGTCACCACTTCCTGTAGCAGTGAATTCCATGTGTTAATCACTCTTTGGGTGAAGAAGTACTTCCTTTTATCCGTTCTAACCCGACCACTCAGCAATTTCATTGAGTGCCCATGAGTTCTTGGATTGTGAGAAAGGGAGAAAAGTACCTCTTTCTCTTCCTGCTCTATCCCATGCATAATCTTATAAACCTCAGTCATGTCTCCCCTCAGTTTCTCCAAGCTAAAGAGCCCTAAGCGCTTTAACCTTTCCTCATAGGGAAAGTGTTCCAACCCTTTTATCACTTGAGGTAAATTGCTTTGCTTTGGCTGCTGCTAAGGTAGTGCTAGAGACCTTCCATACAAGAATATACAGCATTTGGTACTTTTTTAGTTTAGAAAAAATACAACTAAAGTGATAAAGGTTTATTAAATTATGGTTTGGTGTGAAGAGAGAGATTTTTTTTTCTTTTCTATAGCTTAGGATCTCACAATGGAACTGATCCAGGACACGCAACAGGAAATACATCTTAACAGAATTAATTTAAGAATTAATGTCGTGATGGCCAGTAGTTCATATCAGTGGTCTTTGACCTTTCCAGGCCCAAGCCCCACTGAGCTGCAAGCATATGACGAGATGCCATATGACATCAGAGTCATGTGACAGGAATAGGAGGAACCCAGAGTTGTGATCTCACTACTGTCAAGGCAAGGATCACGGGCAGAATACCGAAAGAGATGTAGAAAGCAAACACAACCCAAGCATGAGGAAGTGTCTTGCAGTTTGGAGCAAGGCAATGGTCAGAGCGATGGAGGAATCCTCTCCACTACCGAGTGACCACACCTTGCTGACCCACTTTCTTTCAGCATAGCTGTAGAGAGGCAGAAAGACCTTTGCTCTGTATGCAGCAGGTCTTTCCAAAAGACAGCCTAAGTAAATGCCAGCTTTATAGGGGGTCACAGCCAGTGTTCCCTCTAAGCTGAGTTAGTGTGAGCTAGCTCACAGTTTTTTAGCCTCCGGCTCACACATTTTTGTCTCAGCTCAGGAAGGATGGCTCCAGAACACACTAATTTATGCAGTAGCCAAATCACCTGCTCACAACTTTAATGCCGGTAGCTCACAAAGTAGAATTTTTGCTCACAGGACTCTACAGCTTAGAGGGAACATTGGCTCACAGCCCAGCTGGAAGGATGGCATGACTCAATTTATAGTCCTGACCTGATTGGGGCCATGGGGTGAAGAAGGCTTAGATGGCTATAAAAATTACTAAAAAATATAAGCAATCAGTAGCATTTTAGAGGAAATATGCTACCCAAAAGCAATTGCTGAAAGGCAACTGGGGAGGGCTATTTCCTTCTGGTGTACCACTTTTGGGTTTCTGGGAACATCTCATTAGCCAGTGTGAAAAACATCATGGTGGACCAGATAGACGGTGGCCCTGACCCAGTGGACCTTTATTATGCTCTTATCAGAAATGTAATTCAAATACACGTCGTATTGCAAGAAGGACGTTTTGGTTTAAGTACTGTGTCATATTTTTTAACTGAATTATTTTAGCATTTTAATTGGTGTTATGGTATGTTCGTTTTATACTGTCTTTGATCAATTTCATAAATGTTTCATGATTTGTTGTTACTTACTGGTTTAAACATATAGAAAATATATATTTCTCTCTCTTCGTCTCTCTATAAAGTGTAGATCAAATGGTTATATTCTTAAAACATGTCCTCTAGAACTCACCTTGGCTGTTTGAACGGCTGCTCCATAACCAGTGGAAAACCCACAGCCAATCAGACACACTTTTTCCAGAGGGGCGGCGGCATCAATTTTGACCACTGCATTCTCATGCACCACTGTGTATTCCGTGAAGCTGCTGGTGCTAATGAAATGGTGAAGGCTCTTCCCTTTGCAAGTAAACCTGCAGGTGCCATCAGGCATCAATCCACGAGGTTCACTGAGGCTTTTTTTTTGGGGGGGGGGAGGGAGACACACAAAGATGGAAAGAATTAGATATTTAAACGGGGGTGGTGGTGGTGATACAGGAGCCCAGTATGGTATGATAGTGTGCAGGACTTGAATTCAAACGATCTGAGCTAAAATGTTTACTAGGGCACCAACCAACCTTGTTGCTGCCCTGCTTGCCTGTGGCATCAAGGTTTGTCCCAGGAGGTAACCTTGGCTTCAGTAGGTGGCTGCAGGGAGCCTGCTCCTACCCTCCCATCCTCTGTCAGGATGGCGGTGGGCAGTGTTCCCTCTAAGCTGTGTTAGTGTGAGCTAGCTCACAGTTTTTTAGCCTCTGGTTCACACATTTTTGTTTTAGCTCAGGAAGGATGGCTCCAGAGCAATGCTCCTTCTAAGCTGTGGAGTCTTGTGAGCAAAAACTCTGTTTTGTGAGCTACTGGCATTAAAGTCATGAGCGAGCAATTTGGCCACTGCATAAATTAGTTTGCTCTGGAGCCATCCTTCCTGAGCTAAGACAAAAATGGGTGAGCTGGAGGCTAAAAAACTAAAATGTTTTCCAAGCCTGCTCTAATATTTAGGAACTCTAATATTTAAGAATTGTCATGACTCAAAATGGCCAAGTGAAGCTGCTAGTAATCCTACCATGGAACAGGCCCTATATGTTTACCACAGTGAGGCAAATAACTGTTCTGTGGGGCCAATTTATTTTATTTATTTTATTGTATTTATACCCCGCCCTCCCCGCGAACGGGCTCAGGGCGGCTCACATAGAGCACTAAGTGCATACAATAGTCCAAATAGAATTTAGTCCAAGAAAATAGTTCAAAAGGCTTAACCCTCCCCCTTGCACCCAATGCTCCCTCTAAGCTGTGGAGTCTGGTGAGCAAAAATTTCTCCTTTGTGAGCTACTGGCGTTAAAGTTGTCAGCAAGTGATTTGGCTCCTGCATAAATTAGTTTGCTCTGAAGCCATCCTTCCAGAGCAAAGACAGAAATGTGTGAGCCGAAGGCTAAAAAACTGTGAGCTAGCTCACACTAACTCAGCTTAGAGGGAACACTGCTCCAGAGCCAACTAATTTATGCAGTAGCCAAATTGCCTGCTCACAACTTTAATGCCAGTAGCTCACAAAGTAGAATTTTTGCTCACAAGACTCCACAGCTTAGAGCAGTGCAGAGGGGTGTGAGAGCAGTCGTAACAGTGCAGGGGAGTGAGGAAGGTGGGCAGCTGCCTCTCAACTTGCCACAGGGAGGGGCTGTAGCTTAGGGTTGCCAACCTATAGATGGTGGCTGGCCAGGGGTCGTTTCGTAGAAAAACAGCTAGGGTAACTCATTAGCATAACTCATTAGCATATGCCACACCCCCTGACATCACCGGAAGTGTGTCATAAGGCCACACCCCCTGACATCACCGGAAGTGTGTCATAAGGCCACACACCCCGCCCCCAACGGTCCCGGCCGCCGCCACCGGCCTTGCAGCTCCACTGCCGAGCCCCATGAGGGGCCCGGCGGTGGACCTGCAAGGCCGGCGGGAGTGCAAGGAAGTCCCGCGAAGGCCCTCCCTGGCCCCAGGCAGGCAGGGGTGGGGAGAGGCAGGGAGGAAGCAACTTACCCTCCCTCTTCTCCTGCCTCCTCCTGGCTGAATGAGGGCCAGAAGCGGAGTGGCCGGAAGCAGGGGGCAGGGCTTCATCATGTGCCCCCCCGTACCTCACCCGGGGGAACTGCGATCCCCCGCGATTCCCCCTGAAATGACCTCTGTGGCTGGCAATGTTCCCTCTAAGGTGTGGAGTCCTGTGAGCAGAAATTCCATTTTGTGAGCTACTGGCATTAGAATTGTGAGTAAGTTATTTGGCTCCTGCATAAATTAGTTTGCTCTGGAGCCATCCTTCCTGAGCTAAGACAAAAATGTGGGAGCCAGAGGCTAAAAAACTGTGAGCCAGCTCACACTAACTCAGCTTAGAGGGAACACTGGTGGCTGGAGATCTGGGATTACAGCTGATATCCAGGCAATAGAGATCAGTTCACCTGGAGAAAATGGCTGCTTTGGAAGGTGGACCTTATGGCATTATACTTCACTGAAGTCCCTCCCTTCCCCAAACCCCGCCCTCCCCAGGATCCACCCCCAGAATCTCCAGGTATTTCCCAACCTGGAGCTGGCAACACTACTGCAGCTCAGTGGTAGATCATCTGTTTTGCATGAGGATGGTCCCAGGTTCAATCCCTGGCATCTCCAGTAAAAAGGATCAGGTGATTGGTTATGTGAAAGACCTCGGCATAAGACCCTGGAGACCCCCATTGCCAGGCTGAGGTAAGGACGGTCCCCAGGTGGGGGCAGGAGATCCCTTGATTTTTTGGGGCTTGTAGGGCAGGCACGCAGGGCATCTTCTCTTTTCAAGCAGAGGCCGTGAATGCCTGCCCTGCAAGCAGCAAATTCACAGCTTGCAGGGCAGGTACACACAGTGTCCGCTTTCCCCCCCAACTATTTAAAGGGAATCAAATGATACTTACTCATTTTGAGTACAAAGGTTGCCTCTGGTATTTCGACAAGAACTGCAGTTTCCACACTGTGGGTTAAAGAGTGGGATAACATGGTCTCCTATGAACCAAAAGAAATAAACCAAGAGTTACAGCTTCAACAATTACACAGACATCTAGAGATGGAAGTCATGGATCCAGCTACTGGAAAAGTTTAGCCATAATTTAAAGGAAAGTCCCCTAAGGAGACAAGACCCTTTAAGAGAAGGAACGTGCACAGCCAATGAAGAACTACCAACGGTTCCCCCCCAAAGACGTATTTTACCTCAAGATGTTTGAGTGCTATTGAAGCATAAGGTCTGCATAGAACAAAACCTATACACTGTCACATGCGAAGTTTGAATTTATTTTTTTGTTATCACAGCCTTGGAAGTAACGCTTGCTGCAGCAGCATATATTGGAGCACATGAAAAACAGCCCCACCCTTGTATCTGCAGGGTTACATGAACACTAAAGTACAAACTATTTGTCTTATAACCAGAGGTTGATTCGGGGGGATCGTGGGGGATCGCAGTTCCCCCGGGTGAGGTGTGGGGGGCGGGGCACACGACGAAGGCCCGTCCCCTGCTTTCGGCCGCCCCGCTTCCGGCCCTCATTCAGCCAGGAGGAGGCAGGAGAAGAGGGAGGGTAAGTTGCTTCCTCCCCGCCTCTCCCCACCCCTGCCTGCCTGGGGCCAGGGGGGGCCTTGGCGGGGCTTCCTTGCACTCCCGCCGGCCTTGCAGGTCCACCGCCGGGCACCTGATGTCAGGGGGTGTGGCATATGCTAATGAGATATGCTAATGAGTTCCCCTAGCTCTTTTTCTACGAAACGACCCCTGCTTATAACCATCTCTGCTCATACCTGGTTTCACACAGGTTACTCCCTCTCCAACACTCTCCACAACTCCAGCTGCTTCATGGCCCAAAACCATTGGAAGGGGCACAGTAAATGCACCACTGATCACATGGTCATCTGAGCGACAGATCCCAGTGGCCAAAATCTGTTTAGAGTTAAGTTGAAAGGAGAAAACATTGTTTATATTTTTTGCTTATTTCATGTTGTAAGTGGTGAGTTGAAATTCAACAGCTAAAATGAAATGGTGATTTCCTATAGATGCGTGTGTCCCACCACCATGGTGCAGAGTCCTGGTTCACCCAGACTGCATAAACATGGTTTGGTATCATGGGCACAAGCCCTGTTTCTGCAGGCTTCTGGCTCTTTCTCTCATTTCCCCTCGCATGCTTAGAATTTAATAACAATGCTAGGCAAACCCTACACAAAGTTATTTGAGTCTATTGAAATTAAGGAATTTAGACTGAAGTAAATCTGCATAGGATTGCATAGTTAATGACTTAACTCAAACCATAATTTGCTATGATTTCCGGAAACAGCAAAGTGAGGTTCACTGCTCCAGAAAATCAGAACTGCAAATCGGATTGGAATGGAAAAGGCAAACCATAGTTAATACAGAATTTGTGGGATTTGACTATCCATTCAGTGTAATGTTTTACATTTGTCCTATGTAATATTAATGTTTTAATCTATTAAAATTATTTCAATACCATAAATCATAAGACCGCAATAATTTATCTTTCATTTATGTAGCGATAACTTCAAGGTCGTTTACCTTAATACGAACTTCATGAGCCTTTGGAGGAGCTACTTCAATTTGCTCAATGACCAGGGGTTTCTTAATCTCCCAAGCGACAGCTGCCTTGCATTTAATGACCTGTAAAAACAACACGTCACTTTTGTATGCATGCTACACTGTGATGTGCTTAGAAACCTTATTCATTAGCTAAGCAGAAACTTCCCTTACACCTGAAACTATCATCCTCATAGCACTAAGTGCTGTTTGCAAGCCTAGATATGTTTCTGGCTGCCCCTGAATGTCTCCCTTCCCTGAGGCATGTTAAAACATATGGAGAAGTCTTATCATGTGTACCCTGCCCTTTATGTTCCTAGGTGTTATAGAACACAATCACTGTTCAAGCACCAGAAGAGAGGGGAGGGGAATTCTCACAGCTCATCTGTCATCCTTATCCATCCTTTGGAGCAGAATGCTTACCACAGGCATGGGGCAAAGTTCATGCCCTAATTTCAGGAAAGAAAAATTAAAACACCCCAATTTTTCGACTTTCGCAATAACCAGGGTGTGCTGATCAACATGACTTCAAATTTCCAGTTGTTACAGAAAGTTGTCACTAAATCACAGCAGGACGGTGGGGGAAGGAAAACATCAAAGCATAGTTAGGAGAAAGGAGCTGGCACCAACCACCATTTGTACTTCTGCTCCCATCTGCTTTGTTAAAACCCACTTTCCCCCAAGTTGTGCTTCAGTGGACTTAGAAGAGTGTATCACTGCTTTGTGTGGCACTGTGAATCTGTCAGCCCTGGACTTGTAGGGATTTGGCATAACTCTGATGGTGACATGCTATTTCATGTCTAGGTTGAACCTACATCAGACATGTAAGTCACCACTGGTGATCAAACTGTTTCTTTTCCACCCCTATTAGGTCACAGATGAACTGTATCAGTATGTGTGGACACAGTGGACTAGTAGAATGTTTTGTGGGCTCCTTCACAAAATATTTCTTACCCAAAACAGTGCCCGAAATTCCCTGTTTCATTTTGGATCAAAAATACCCCAAATAAAAGATGGCACTCTTGAAATTTCAGGATTCCTGAAATAAAAATCTGGATCATTTTGTTTTGTTTCAGCTCAAGTGGTAGAACTTGTCTACCCCTGTTGATTCTAATGGATGGCAAACCTACTGTCTGAGTCTACATACTAAGCCTATGACCCACTGGAAACAATCAAAATAGTCTCAGATGCAAGGTCTACATCCCATTGGAATTGGTAGGAGGAGAACTGGTCTCTGGATGCCAGGTCTATTGCCCTTTGAAAACACTAGAAATAAACCAGGCCTCTGATGGATGGTAGACCTGGCGTCCAGATTCCAATGGATGGTGAGTAGACCAGGAAACTAAGTCCAGAGGCCAGGTCTACTTCCACTGTTGTCAGTGGGTGGTGGACCTGAAGACTCAAGGTCTACCACCCATTGGAATCAGTGGGGTAGTTGTGACCTTCAAGAAACCAAGATTACCATACATTGGAATCAGCCCATTTCCCTGAAATGGGTTTACAAAATGATACTGACATTCCCAAAATTTTGTAAAAATCATCTCCTTTCTGAAGAATCCAAATGAAACTCAAATGAAAATGTTTGAAGTGCACCCCACTGTTTATTATTTATTCATGTTATTTATATTTCACATTTCTCACTGTAGACTCAGTTCTGCTTATGTCTGTATAGCAAGGATTCATTCACTGTATCTGAAGAAGTGGGCTCTCTTATTCTGGAATAAACTTTTTTTAAAATCAAGGTGTCACAAAACTCCTTGTTATTTCATTTCATCAGCAGGGGTCATTTCATAGAAAAAGAGCTAGGGGGACTCATTAGCATAACTCATTAGCATATGCCACACCCCCTGACATCACCGGAAGTGTGTCCTCCCCACAGCCGGAGGCGACCTCCAGCAGGCACCAGCAGGGAGCTCCAGGCCCCGCCCTCCCGCACCTCACCCGGGGGGATGGCGTCCCCCCGCGTCCCCCCCCCCAAATGACCCCTGTTCATCAGAAACATGTGTGGCTGGCAGAGCACCGGGTCCTTACTGGTTATCCTATTTTCCTGTGCACAGTGTGACCCAGCCCCTGCAGTTTCCATGCAGAAGGCTGATCTCTGGACCAGCCATTTCCCCCTCCACGCGTAATAGCATTCTGTGAGGAACTGTACACATGGTAAAACTAAGATGATGCTAACATCTGTAGACCTTAATTTTCTTCTGACATCACAGGGAGTTCTGCAGCTGGTGTTACTAAGAAAAAAAAAAGAATTTGCAGCACTGGCAGTCAGGATAATCAAACATTTTAGGCGGGGAACTGTGGTGCTGAGATCATTTGCCTGGCAATTTTATTTGTCCATCAAAGTACAGAATAGGATTGTAAAACAGGAGGGAAAATGTGTGTGGCTCAGGAGAAGGTAATCCCCATTCCCCCCCCCCCAGACCAACAAGATTATCAGGGTATAAACTTTCAAGATTCAAAGATGACTTCTTCAGATCCTTGAAAGCTTACAGCCTGAAAATCTTGTTGGTCGCTAAGGTGCTAATGGACTCGAATCTAGCTGTTCTACTGTAGACGAACATGCCTGTCTTCTCTGAAGCCCCACTTCCTCCGTCCCCCTCACCAAGGCTTCCCTCTTGTTCCAGCTCTGATTTCCCTCCCTCCTTGTCTCCTTTCCTCATCTTTCCTTCCTTCTCACTAAAGGCACCATCAACACTTATCTGTTACAGCATCTAAAAATGTCTGAAGGAATAGCTGTGTTAATTAAAAGCCTACAGGTAAAAAGTGAAAGAACCTGCAGTTTCTCTGTGTCCCAGTAAAATATCTGGGATCAACATTCTGGGAGCTATCTTGTTGATGATGGGTCACCTGGGGTTGTGGTGAATGAAGTGACAGACTTTGGCTGATTTTGCACTAGAGCTGCCTCGCCGTTGCACCGCCATTTGCCCCAGTTCTATTGGTCAATTTCACACCCGAAGCCGCGCGGCTGATTTTGACCTGCGGCTTCGCCCAATTTCCTCCACAGTTTTGTTGATCCTCAAAAAACAGGATCACGAAACTGCGGGGGGAATCGGGTGAAGCCGCGGGTCAAAATCAGCCATGCAGCTTTGGGCAAACGGAGGCGCAACAGCGAGGCAGCTCTAGTGCGAAATCAGCCTTTGTTTTAATAAAAACTTGAAGCTAAGAATATCGTTCCCAGTGATGCTTAAGAGCTCCTTTTATTCTGGAAGTGGGGTATGACACTTTTAATGTGTCAACATCAGAAAGCAGAAAAGAGATGTTTTCAAATTATATGAGCATTCTAACAGAATCAGTTACAGCTTAAAAACTGAACATAGTAAAAAGTATGTGCCATTAGTAAAAGCTGACTAAATATCTAATCCAGGCTAAACAAATCTTTAGCTAACGTGCAGAAAAGCTAAGCTTGGCAGAATATTTATGTAACAGAAGCAATCTGTGCTTTTTGTTAAATATACATTACATATGTTTTCTCTGGCAAAACAGGACTCTGATGAAATCTACTTTTTTAGCATTGACACTGAGCTTATTGTAATTGATCTCAATTTTGGGAATGGTGGTGGGAGGGAACTTTCCAGGAGTGGCAGGTGGGGAAACATCACTGCATTTGATGTTGCTGATGAGATGACGTCACGCGGAAGTGACATCATCACACCAGGGACATTGCGCAGCGACACTAGCATTTTGACCAAAATGCTAGGGTTTTGACCAAAATGCTAGAGTGCCTATTCAGCGGTGGGACTTCCTCTGACCATAGAGTTTTGGCCAAAATGCTAGAGTGTCACTGCGCAAAGTACCTGGCATGATGACATCACTTCTGTGTGATGTCATTGTGCCAACGACATTGATGCTCAATGTGCCTATTCAGCGGTGGGACTTCCTCTGTCAACCAGCTGGCCAGTGGTGGGCTGAAGTCCCAAAAAATTGGGGGAACCCCCACCCGGACTGGGGGTCTGGCAACCCTACCTCATGCCAGTCATTCTCAGTTAAAGAAACCCCAACGTCTCTTTCCCATATTACCGTATTCTTATTAATGGTTTCAGTTAACATAGAGTACAATTTTGAGATAAAACTTAATCTGCCAGACAGGTCAGGGGCAAGAATCAGGTTTTCAAATGCAGTATCTGCCCTTCTGTTGATTTTTGTAAAACCCACAGTACAATAAATATTTCTAAGTTGAAAATAAAAGAACCAAGGAATTTTCAAGCCTGGGAAGTTTTTTCCCCAGAAGTTCTTTTCCCAAGATAGGACCTTTAGATTGTAAATCGTGATATCTGTAATGACCATGATGAAGCCATTCAAAGATTATATTTGTTTGCTTTCCTGGTGTGAAACATAGTGTTAATTTAGGCTACTTTCACAAGGAGACTTTTTAATGTAGAAGAAGAAGAGTTGACTTTTATTTTCTGTACCCTAAGGAGTCTTCAAGCGGCTTGCAATTGCCTTCCCTTCCTCTCCCCACAATACACACCTTGTGAGGTAGGTGGGTCTGAGAGAACAGTGACTGACCCCAGATCACCCAACAGGCTTAATTTGGAGGAGTGGAGAATCAAACCCGGTTCTCCAGATTAGAGTCCACCACTCTTATACACTACATCACTCTGGCTCTTGGAGAGGCCAATGGAGAGGCATTCACATTGACAATTGAGTATTCAAACAGCAGTTTAAAGCTTGCTTCAGCCATTTCCCCCCCCCACACACACCACCAGAGGGCTTTTTCAGGCTTTTTTTTTTGAAAAGGCAGATTGCTGTCGTGAAATAATGTCTAATTATCTGTTGCCATAATCTGCTAGTTTCCTGCTTTCATTTTTTTTAAAGTGAGTCTTGAACTCTTTTCAGAGTTACCCCTTATAACTCTGCAATGAAAAAGTCTAGCAACTTTTCTTTCAATGAAAGCTGGGAACTAGTTAGATTGTGGCAACAAATCATTATAATGTTACTGCATTATAGCCATCAAGCATTGCCAATTTTTAAAAAAAGACCCCCAACCCTCTGGTAGGGGGATGGGGGGGGGATGCAGTGCAGCTGGGGCAAAAAAAATTGTGCTAATGTGTGTAGGATCTGCAAAAATACACATTTCCCCATCCAAAGGGCATCCAAAGACACTCTTGACTGTTATTTCAAAAAAAATGACATGCTAAGTCAGGTTTGGGAAAGATCATGGCAAAGCACTGCAAAATGTAGAAAAGGGATGAATGGAGGACGACATCATGAAAATAGCACTGCAGTAAGGAAGGTGAGGCAAAACATTTGAATGGAAGTCACAATAATCTTATTAAAATAAGAGCAGTCCAAAAAGTATGCATTTACTCCATGGTCCTATATGATCATTCAGAATAATCGGCATATTGTACAACATTAACAAAAAATTAAAACACAAATTATGGGCATCATCTAGCTAAGTTTAGTGTGGCTTATTCTAGTGAAAAAATGTTAAGCTTGAATGTACTTCAGTGGCAGAAGTCAGTGGGACAATGGCTGCTGGATCACACCCTATCTTTTATCACACAAAATGGTTTTTGCAGGCACTATTGCTTCCACTTGAGGACTTCTCTGCATCGAATGAGCTTTTAACACTGTATCCTTCAGCCATATTAAAAGCTCACTCAGTATCATGTCAGGATGTTGTACTTCTCCTATTAACAAACTTGTATCATCTTTCTGGTTTGTGCAACTTAACCACAAATGCTGCTCCTTCAGTGAGTGGGTTTTGCATTTTATAAGCCTTTCTGAGAAATCCTGGCTCATCTGGAGTTTGGTACCAGTCAGAGTGCTTAGTTAGAGTGATATTTCAATTAAGTCAATGTATAAAACAATGTACAATCACATTTTAATGTAATAATGACAAGCACTGCCGAAATTTTAACAGAATTTGCTTTAGGACTCCCGTGCTTGATGAGCAATGCACTATTCTTTATGTCCTGTGAACACCAGTGAAGAAGCAGCTTGGAAAGTGCTTACTTACTTTTCCTGCGGTGCTCATGGTGCTCCTGTTTCTCTGCTGCTCTTTCTTGCTTCACAAATTCAGGAGCCCAAGCAACCCCCTTGCTCTTTAATGGGTCTTGCACAGATTGCTGACCGTTTCCCTGCAAGCCACAATTGCATGAACATAGCTTGGGGCCTTTTAAGTAAACTCAGTGTCTTCTTAGTCCCACCCCTAAACCCAGAAAGGAAAAATACTAAACCCCTCCTCTACTGAATATAAAATCCATGTTGCAGTTTAACCACACTGAAGGAGAATAAGGAGTGTAATGCCTTGCCATGTTCACACGTAAGAATTTTTGCTTGTGTGTAATTATATTTGCTCTCCTGGACACTTGTAATTTATAAACCAAGTGACCTTGGATCTATCTAGCCCACAGCAAGTCCTGTGTTTGTCGTAAGTCTTTCTCTAGTTCATAATAATTACTGCAGTTGGTGCTGCACACTCATACAAAAATATGTTGTGTGACTCCTCTTAAAAACAAAAGTAAAATCAGTGAACGGTTTGTGGAAAGGCTGACATTCTATGGCTCGTGGAGTGGATTCATGCATATTTTATTCCCCCAGGAAGCCTCTTGAAACATTACAGAGTACAGAGGGTAATCCTTGGGTCCCCACCCTGTGTTCTGTGTAACAGTCAAGCACAAAAGGGAAGGAAGCATTGTAACAAGGACTGTAAAGTCACTGAATAACAGTAAAAGATAATAAAAGTATATTATGTATGAAATGCAAATTATAGTAATTTTTACAGATTTGTGCAACAATAAATATATTTTTTCAGAGGTCATTTCGGGGGGGAACGCGGGGGAACGCAGTTCCCCCGGGTGAGGTGCAGGGGGCGGGGCACATGACGAAGCCCCGCCCCCTGCTTCTGGCCGCCCCGCTTCCAGCCCTCATTCAGCCAGGAGGAGGCAGGAGAAGAGGGAGGGTAAGTTGCTTCCTCCCCGCCTCTCCCCACCCCTGCCTGCCTGGGGCCAGGGAGGGCCTTGGCGGGGCTTCCTCGCACTCCCGCTGGCCTTGCAGGTCCACCGCCGGGCCCCTGATGTCAGGGGGTGTGGCATATGCTAATGAGTTATGCTAATGAGTTCCCCTAGCTCTTTTTCTACGAAATGACCCCTGTATTTTTTCAAAACATCAAAACATCAACTAGACGCATCAAGTATGTGATTTTTCACCACGTAAACAGTACATACAATACTGTAAAATTAAAGCTTTGGAAAAAGTCTCAGTAGGAACAATTCTCTAAATAGTATGTGCACCTGGAACAAGAAGAGATCTCTGGGCAAGATTCAACGGATGTCCAGTAACAATTCCATTTCAAGATGTCTTTATCAAGAATCTCTCATTTTCAAAGAAATCACGTAGCTGAGTATATTTATCATGGCCTAACTCCAGTCCCTGTTGGAGTGAAAGTTTTTCATGAGGAAGTTTTTCGCTGAGGACAGGCATTCCATTTCAAAATCTCAGACTGAATTTAGGCCATGATAAATATCCCGGACTATGTGATTCCTCTGAAAATGAGAGATTCTCAAAGCTTTAATCTTACAATATTGTATGTACTGTTTACATGGTGAAAAATCATATACCTCATGAGTCGATGTTTTGAAAAAATATATTTATTGCTGCATAAATATTTTATGTATTTATTTATTTCTTCATATTTATAGCTTACCAGCAGGCTGAGGGTGGGTAACAACATTTCAACAGTGCAATAAATACTTAAAAATTAAAACACCGTAATTGACATTAAAATGGTGGTCACAACTCAGACCAGAAGATTACCTGGTTGTGAGAGGTTCCCTGGTCCCTTAGTAACATATGAATAATAGCCAGCAGTTGTTGGATGGGTGACAGAAACCTCAGGGAGGCCATACTCGGACATCCACTTCCTCAGCCAAAGGCCTGGTGAAACAGCTCCGTCTTACAGGTCCTGTGGAATTGAAAAAGATCCCTCAGCGCCCTGATCTCAATGGGAAGCATGTTCCACCAGACAGAGGCCAGGGCAGAGGAAGCCCTGGCCCTGGTCAAGGCAAGATGGATGTCTTTCAGGCCAGGGACCACCAGGCAATGTTGATCCATAGAGCATAATGCTCTTTGGGGCCTATACAGAATTTCATACATAATACATTTTTATTATCTACTAGGAATAAGACCTGTTGTGGACCCTATATGGCCAGGGTCTGACCTACCTAAGGGACTGCCTTTCCCCACACATACCCCCATGAGCACTTTGGTCTGGGACGCAACATCGCCTGGTGATTCCAGGCCCCAGGGAGGCAAGGCTTGCCGCAATCAGGGCCAGATCCTTTTCAGTGGCGGCTCCTACCTGGTGGAATAAGCTCCCGGAGGAGATCAGGGCCCTGTGGGACCTTCTGCAGTTCTGCAGGGCCTGTAAGATGGAGCTCTTCCGCCAGGCTTTTACGTAGGGGCCGCCGCTGCCACGACCACAAATGGCATGGGCAACAATAGGGCTAGGAGGGACAGTCCCTGGAAGATCTGCCAGGATACTGCATGGCGCCGTATACCAACTGGTTGTACACCAACTACAGGACAACACCACCTTTATGAAAGACTGATACTATCTTGTAATTTTATTCAGTGACTATCTTGTTTTTTACTGAGCACCTTATTTGTGTTGATAATCACTGGTTTTTACTGTTTTTATATGATTTTATGTGTGGGCACTTGTTGCTCTTTGTAAGCCGCCCTGAGCCCGCTTGCGGGGAGGGCGGGATATAAATGCTAAAATAAATAAATAAAAATTAATTAATTAATTAATCAAAAGCAAATGTGCATATTTTCCAATTAAAAACGTGTGTGCGGCGTTTGTTCATGTCTTGCGGCTCTCAAGCATCTGACATTTATTCTACGTGGCTCTTCCGTTAAGCAAGTTTGGCCACCCCTGTTTTAAACTGTTAACCGCCTCGGTGGTCCTCGTAAGGACAAAAAAACCCAGGATGCAATCTTGAGAACAACAAGAACAACAACCATT